TACATTGAAGAAAGCAGAATTTGAAGAAATGTTACTTAACACTGTCTTTGGGTACTATTTCTAACGTCTTTAGTGATTCAAAGCACTAAAATTTCTTTATTCTATTAAATAATAAAGAAATAAATTAAATTCCTCTCCTGACAATCTGCTCTAATGAGAATGTTGTTTGGAAATTCTTCCCAACTCCTTCCCTCTCCTGTGCTTACTCAACACACTGGCATCATTCTGCAATGAGAGGAGTGGCTCCATAGTAGTTAACACTTCTTAAGAAGTGAACCAGGTTTTCCATGGCTACTAACATGCTTCTAGATGTTTTTATAAAAGTATTTGTGACCAAATTCCACACTGGCACAAAAATAGTTTTCTCTGGTTTAATGGGGCTGTGACTGATGTCAGGAATGAAGCTGACTCATTGCAACTATAAGGCATAAAAATGAAAAGAAAGTAAGAAATTATCTAATAGTCTCCTTATGTAGGATTCTTTTCATCAGCAGAGATCTAATATAGATTATAACAGTAACAGCAATCTGTGGTTCTTACCCACAACTTGAACCTGCACAATTAGCATACCAAAAATTACGATGTAAGGTTTGCTCGAGAAACAAAATAACATAACTGAATTTAAAAAATCCCAAAAAACTAACAATCCAACCAATAATTTGCAAGGCAATCTGTTTGGCCACTGAATATTAAACAGTTTCTCAAACCTAACTGGCATAAGAAACCATTCCATCACTGGTGAATTTATATCCTCTGGGAGAATTACTGCCCCATCTACACACCATTTAACATCACACAAACTGTGACAGTCTTTGGAAGAGCAAAACGCCTCTTGGCTAAAAAGAATACCTGACAGTGATCCAAAATGCCTTCTAGTTAAAATTGGCAGTAGTCCCTGCAAATTAATATTTTTAATAAAGTAAAACTTTTGTAATGAATAAATAAGTGTAAATTACAAAAACCCTTAACACACCAGGAAGAATTACCAAGTCAGCATTAGGAGCATCAAAACCAAACACAAAATCTTCCCTTATGCATATGCACTGCCTCAAAGGAAGATAATAGATCACTCAAAGTGCACTGTACTTTAATGACACTGAACAGGTAGGAATATGCTGTTTATTATGGAGGTGGTGAGAAATGAAGACTCACTGACTTTTTTGTACAGAACTAAGCCTGATGGGTCAGCTCAGCACAAAGCTACTCAGAATTGTTTTTCTGCTTCTTGCCTGTATTCCTACTCAGCTTATTACTCTCATTGGCTAATAGGAAAGGAAAAGCACACTTTTTTTTCTAGTCACAAGCTCCTGTGTAAAGTCTCTACGTATACCTAACTATGCTCTGAGATGCCGTGGGACTTGACCCCACTACTGAAATTCAACGAAATTCTGCATAGTGGAGAAAGGGAGAGCAGCTCCTGGGAGAGGTGGCCAGCCAGCCCTGCCAGCAGGAGCAGGATGGGGAACACCCAGCCATGGCACAGGATGGGGAGAGCCCCGGCTCTGACTGCGCACCCGCATGCAGAACTGAGTGCACAGGCAAAGGCAGCCCCAGCAAGCTTGGAACAGAAGGCTAGTGTAGAATGGATTTAAGCATTTCCTAGTCTGAACATAGGCACTGATGAGCAACAAAGATAAATAATCTTAAATATGAACTGTAGCCAAAGCAAACACAATGACCATGATGATCAGCATACAGTAGTGTGGGATCTGCCTCAGCAGGATAATATAGCTGCCTGATGAAGTTTTCTGCTAATAAACATGAAGCAGAACAGGCCAATGGTTTCTCTAGAGTAGTTACAAAAAACCAATACACTTACATAATTTCCTTATAAAGTTCATTCAGTTTCTTTCAAAAGAATAAATTAATGTTTTTAAAACAAATGACATGGCTTCGATGCATACAAGGTTTGCTGTGATGAGTTGCTTAAAAGCTAATGTTTAACCAAATCAAGCTTTGTACTGAGCTACTTCTCATGCTTTAGTAGGTTATATTATATAACATTGATAAAAATTGTATTTATGTACTTTTCAAGTGCGAGTATTTTTATACAGATGGAAGAAGACTTCCATACACCTATTCTTCCAGGTTCTTGAACATTTATCCTGTTCTACAAAACAAATTATCTTAATTCCTTGCAACTGCAAAATTATTAACTGCAAAAATTATTGCAATTCCTTTTTTTTCTTTGCAGGAAAAGCACAATCAGACTCACTCATCTTTACAAGGTCAAAGATGTCTCTTTCTGCTCTGTATAGAAAATTAAGAACCATTTCCCTTTGATTTATTCTGTTCTGATAAAATCAAAATGGCCTAGATGAAATGATAATATAGGACCTGAGTTTTATGTTCCTTTTCTCCATCCACATGGACATACTTTCTGAATAGAAGTAAGTGCAGATCTATTATCTTCCCTTTTATGTTCTTTATTCTCTTAGTTTCAGATCTTACTGAACTCTAGTTAAAAACTGAAAAAGGCAAACATGGCAGAGTGAAAACAGCTACAAAGACTGTAAGAATATCTCTCACATTTACACAGAAACAGGAAAAGAAAGGAAATTAATCCACTGTGTAGTTAAGTACAGATAATCTTAAGTACTAAAATATTCTCAAGTGGAATAGTTTGACACCAAGTTATAGACTGCATTGCAAACCCAAATCTATCTATATATATCTCACTCTCTGAGGTCTGAAGGTTTTTCTAAATAATACAAAAATATCTTCATTATTTGACATTTAAAGAGAGGAATAAAAATCCCTGAGTAAGCCAAAGACAACTGATATGTATAGCCTCAGAAAACACACTCAAAACCAAGACCAATTTTAAGGCAGCTTCCAGCTTCAGACAGAACACAAATAGAAAACTGATGTGTCTCAGAAGAAAGTCTAAATAACAGGTGAATTTGCATCGATAATAGGCTTTGAATTTTATTTCTAAACATCACTGCTTCCCTTCTTAATTTGCAAATCTTTGAAAGGTACTATTTCTACTGTTAGGATAACAGGGTAAACATGCCCTTAAATTCAAATGGAAATTATTAAATAGGTATTCACTACTATGGTGTGCTTAAAGAAAAAAAAAAAAAAACACACAAGAAAACAAAACTAGAAGCTGACAGAAAACAAGCATACTAGCCAACTATGGTAAACTGATATTTGTGTTTCCAGGTAAACAAAAGTTATCAGCTTCTTCCACTGAGGCATAAAAGTCAAAGTATCTTGTAACAGTATTATGTTGGTGGGGCAGAACACCATTTGCTTAAAAATTACAACTGGATTCAGATTTAACAACCATTTTCAAAGAAAGTGGTACAGAGTATATCCTCTTAAATGATATCTTTTTGCAAGCCTAAATTTTGAAGTCAGTAGACTCTTAAGGACATTTCCCATCTTCCTGCTTCCCCTTTCCCCATATATACACAAACAAAGATATATAAATGTGTATATCTTCAGACACACAAACTGAAAAGAAGTACCTTCACAGTACAAATCCAATCTTCTTTTCTTTAAGAGTAGCTTGTATTTTTACAGTATGAAGAAGATATTTTTTTATTCAGTTCCTTTCTTTATTGTTTCAATGTTCTGTCTGAACAAATTTATTCTAGCTTTTAAAGTTATATTTGTATGATAGATTTGGATCAAAATTAAAAGTGTAAAGATTCTCCATAATTGATTCCTTATGCTGAATTAAGGATCACTTTTGTTGTGATGCACTGAGAAAGTGGTTTGGTAGCAAACAGTAGAACTTAAGGAAAAAAGAGCAAAGATAGCTGTTCTCTTCAGAACTGTCATGTGCCAGGAAGAGAAACACTGGAAGCAGAAAGTAAGAATCAAGTGGTCTCCTAAGAATTTATGATCGCTTCCCTTACCCTGGATTCACAGATTTTCCTCCTAAGACATCAGCGGATACTCAAAGACTTATGTAGTAGTAGCAGCCTACTCAAGGGAACAAACAAACAAAATGTGCTATTTAGGCTATAAAATTTCATCAAGTCAATCCTCACATAGGTAGTGTCTAGCATGTATATCATATTCCAAGTCAGAATAAAAAGAGCAGGTCTCCAGCTTCCCTGAAGACACATTTCAGGGATATCCTGGGACAGATTAGGCCACTGACACATCTTATTATCTAAACCCTTCAGATTTTTTCTGCACTGTGAGAATTTAAAAATTAAGTCCTGTTGTAAGAAATCTTGTCACACCCTCTGCCATTAATATTAACAGACTGTCATAAATAAATTACTGAAGTGAAACCAATCACCAGACTCTTAAGCATCACGGCGCTCCAGTACCAGGGGTGTTTCCCTCTGAGGCACTGCAGTTTGGCGGGGGCAATGCGCGCTCCACTGGCAGGAGCAGGGCTCAGAAGACAACCAGCTGTCATGCTCTGGCATGTGATGGGGTTTTGGTATGCTCAACAGAATGCTGTGTGATGGAAGTTATTTACAGAAGAAGTTTTTAATACCAAAAGTAGTATGCTCAGTACACAGTAAGAGTCCAAACACTTCTAAGCATTTCCACCTTAAAGGCCGACACTGAAGTTAAATGAGCACATGTTAGCAGTTAAATGCTTTCTTCACAGGCCAAATCGGTAGTAGAGTTGTGGCTACAATACAGACTTGGATTGTCTGGTTCAGAAACTTAGACTCAAAAAAACCCCTCCAAAGTAATAACTAAAAAAAAACAAAACAAAACAAAAAAAACCCAACCAAACAACAACAAAAAAAAAAAAACCCACAAAAAACCCCAAACCAAAAAACATTTAAAAAGCAGCAGTCAGGGGGCCCATCTTGTTGAGAGTGCACCAGAGCAAAGAGGCTTTCTGGTCTGCAGTAGTGTTTTCAGCTGAGGGAAGATGGCAGGAGAGCCCCCATCCTTCTTCCAGGGCGGTGGCTTTGATGCTGTAACCAGCACTGTATTGCTCTGTTGCACAAAACTCGGATAGCCCTTGCAGGACCAGCTCAGTTCAGGCAGTAACGTCCGTCCTCACCAGGGCATACCTGTCCGTGACCTTTTCCTCTGCTTTTTACAAAGGCAATAGATAGGAAACACAAATAAACCTGCCAAAAGAAGGAAACATGAAAAAAACACATAAGTAACTGCAATCCTTCGTGCATGTTCTATGTTCTTTAGGTATATGTATTCAGATGGAGCTTTTCATGTCTCAGGAGAATTCAGACCAGGCATTTGGACAAGCAGAAAAAAACACTAGCCTGCAACAACCACTGTCTTTGATAATGAGTTAAGCTACACTTAACTCTTTTCCGTTACGACAAATTCCTGCTAACCCTGCACTCACCTCTGACAAATTAACTTGTGAATCATGCTGTCTGGTATATGGTACAATCAAAACTTTTAAAAGCAGTCTGGAAATTCTTAGATCTAAATTCAAAGCTAGTTTTCAATTAGATTCACATACAATAGAGACAGCACATTATAGTTTTACTTTTTATTTATTTTTACAAGCGTCCTCATCTATTGTGAACTAATACCAAATGTTTATCTTTAATAATATCAAGTGTTTATGCTTGCCTGGACAGGGAACTATTTATTTTTAAGTCTTTTGAGAGAAAGAAAGCTGTAAAAACAAAAAAAAACCCCACACATCACAATCATTCAGGTGAAAAATTTTTCAAATAGTCTGTACTCTTTCAAACCAAAATGAGAAGGATCTTCCTCTTTCTCTTGCTACCAGCTGACTGAAATGGCCAAAGATTTTCTTTTCAAACACCACTACAGTAACAACACAGAACAAAAGACTACTACAATCACAGGGCTGTTGCTTTGCTCAATAGCCTTGTAAATGGTGCAGTATGATTTTCAGCTATGCAACTGAAATTATTCTAATAGTGGTTGGCAGCAAATATTGCTCTAATTACCTCAAAACCAGAACTTTTCTATAAATAGTCAATGTTTCTGGAACTGCTCATACTGCTGGCCTTCATCCTATCTTATCCAGCCAAGTCTAGCATGAGACTTCAATGGCATTCTGATTATTATTGCAAATATTGTTACTATATTACTGCAAAACCCTCTTGATTTTTAGTATATAAAAAAGTGGATTTTTTTCCCTCACCATACATTATACCAGATTGCAGACCAAAATAAGATTTACTGGCACTAAGAAGCCTTTATTGTTTAAAATTTTGGCATAAAAATGCTATTGAATAGAATAAATATTTAAGATAAGCACTGCTCACTCTCTTCAGTGAAGATGGTTGGTCTAAATACAGAAATTACAGCAATAGTCCTTATTTGGCCAGATGTAGTCTAGAAAAGCTGTAATAGTATTTTGGTTATAGGTTGACTGGTTACTTCCAACCTTATTAATACAGCTATCCTGGTGTATTTTGGCTTTATTATATCAAAATAAAGGAGACACACCCCAATATACCTCAGGGCTGGGCATGCACTGCAAATTCCCAGTGGAAAAAGCAGTTTGATGAAAAGCTGTGAAGCAGCATGATCCTGCAATGACATATTGCTGCCAATATAAAGAGTGGATATGCACTCACATGAGCAAAATGATACCTTGTTGTCACAGCTAATCTCTTTTCTGTGGGAAAACTCAGGCAAAGAGCAGCTTTGCTAAAATATCTGTCCACATTAATGCAACCACATTTACAGAGCTTTGATACTGTAATCCAGTGAATTCAGAGTACCAGTTTTTGTGATGGAATACAATTTGGCAGTGTTCTCACTGGATCATGTTTTGAGACTGACTCATCCCAATTTGCTGCTTTGTTCCTGTTGCATCTTCAAGCTGATGAGTTCTTGGGACTAAGCCTTGGTTCCCTAAAAATATTGTCATACACATGACTAAGATTTGAAATAGTGATTCAATGGAGTGATTATAAGGCTGGGTCCAAGTCAGTCAGCCCCCAGGATTATATTTAAATTACTCTGAACTTTCTGCTAGTTTATCTAGAGCAGTTAAAGATGTTTATTTGGAAAATTAAATAAATGGGAACAAAAATAAAGCTAGTAAGCATAAATTTTAAAACATCATTTTTTTAGAAATAAGTAATGTGCTTAATACTAAAACAGCATCTGTGAAATCTGTACTTTGTCTCCATATTTTTGAGATGTCATATAGAGAAAGTCACTGCATAATCAGGATTAGTTTCATTCACATATGTAACTCTTACCTATTACAACAGCTACGGCTCCCAGTGCCAGTCCCAGAACCAATATTAGGGGTGTAATGAGTAGTTTTCCAGCTGAAATGCAAAATTCATTAAACAGTTCAAAGAAGGTTTTACTTTTTCCTTTCCAACAATTCATAAATATTTCAATATCAGAAAATGTTTTAAGCTATTATTTTAAAATTAATATTCTTTACCTCTAAAAATAGGATTCCTATTTGTAATTTCATCCTAGAAATTCAGCCAGGAACTATCACCACACAGTCAGTTCCCTATACACATTTCTCTCTGCCCTCTTCACCCACCCCAACTCTCTGAGCACAGCTTATTTCATACCATAACAGCTTGCATTTATTTCTGTTTCCATTCTGAAGTCCCTCAAGCATCGACAGGAACGTGATAGCTATAAAGCTACTATAATTTGGCTTCTCTGGAATCCTACTGCATAGCAACCAGCCTGGAGAGATGCCAAACAAACTAGCATCTTGGAAAGTTTAGGTTAGCTCAAGGTGATGAGACCATCACCTTTAAATACATTTCTGCTCTCTTTAAAAGGTTACAGTGAAGTGCTCATGTACAGCTGTGATTTAGGTTTAAGTCAACCACAGCCAAGTCTATTTTGGATCTACATTTATAAGGATATGTTGTGGCTCTCACATGAGTAGGGCAGTGATGTTGAGCAGCATACTTGCTAGAGCATAAAACCACGAACAAATAAAGCGTGTTCACATTCTTTACTTTCTGATGAGTTCATGATTTGTAGAAGTTCACACAGTGAAGGCAGGTCTTGCTGAAAATGTGAATTTGAAACCCAAGCTATCTTCCTTGCACTGCATGCTTTCAATGGAAGAATCTCCCTGGCTCTGCTGGCTGAGCAGCTGGGTCAAAGACATCCCTTAACTGAGCTGTCTGAAAATGCAGGAGGGCAGGCATTTTTACTGATACACCAGCAGTCTGAGCAGGGACTTGAAATTCTGCAATTCTCCAAGTTAGGTATGTGTTTGAAAGGTCACCTTTAGAATGGGAGAAAAATTGAGTTTCTTACCTCTTTCTTCCCTCCCTCAAGTCACTCATATCAGATTTCAGTAAATGGATTACTACATTTAATAATTATGTAAACCTTTCCATAACCTGAGACACTAATTTGAGCAGTCTGAAGGAAAAATGAGATATTTTGGAAATATTTACAGCAGTTAAATGAACTGGTCCTTTTCTTGCTCTGTTTTGATAGCTTTTAAATTTCATGGGAGTACAGTGGGTGGGAAACATTAATTCCAGAAGAAAAAAAATTGGCAAATATTTGTATTACTCTAGTTGCTAGGCATCCTAATGGCATACCTTCCTGGGATTCCACTGAGCTGTGCTCTATACACAAAGAACTTGTCAAGTACATTATTCAAGTGTAGACAGAAGAATGAATGTAAAGTGATAAAAAACCTCAAGAAAGGTCCAAAAGAAATGAAATGCATTTATAAACATCAGTCTTCAACAATTTCAAGTTAGGCTTGTAAAAGATTAGAGGCTTACGATACAAACTCCTTACTTCATTAATAGCCGTGTAATTATAATGCTAGAAAATTATGATGTTTGGTATCAAAATTATTAAAAATTATTAAAAACTTAAATCACTGAGCTGGTGACTAAGTATACAGAAACAGAGTCTATGAGAAGGGCTAAGCTAGCCTTCAATTGGAAAACTTCTTTTCAGACACAAAGAACAGTCCCTGAGCTAATTCAAGAACTTGTTCACTTATATTTGACAAACTCAGAGCTGAAATAAAGCATGAGTAGTGTCTTTCCTTCTGCCCGGGAATATGAAGTTATGAGTACTGAGTAGTTATTTTTTAAAATTTACCTTATAGAATAAAATTACTTCATCATCATGAGACTGTATCTTCTTTTGGTTAGCAATGCATTATTTCTAAAGACCAAATTTCAAAACAAATATTTTTCTACTTATACATCTGTCACATTCAAATCCTTAATATTTCTCTACCTTTGTAAACTAAAACTAACAAACAACACAAGGTGAACAAGGCTTGCAAATGCTGCCACCAGGAAGAGTACAAACAGCAGTGGGTATGTACTATTTGCTCCAATGGCTTCTATTTGCATATATGAAACAATTAAAAAATGCTCAGTTTTACATGTCAGAATTGAAAACTACGTTATATATCCAATTCCAGCTTGATAGACATCGTTTGTCATAGTGCAAAAGATTAAGAGGGAATCATGACACAGCAAGAAATGTCACTGAGACTAAGGCTGTTTGCTGCAGGCACTAAACTGTCCTGTGTCTGTTAGCTCAGAGACTGAGAGCACAGAGAGAAAATGTAATGCCTGTCTCAGAGCTGAATAAAATCTTGGGTCATTAGCCCATGTGGTCATCTCAGCAGCAGGCTATGACAGCCAGTTTGCTGTTGTCCGAAGTTAGTTTTTAAGGGTAACTTCACAAAAAGCAATCAAAACAGAACTTTCTTACAATTGCACTCAAATTAATTGTAAACAATTTCTCTACTGGGTGGCCCAGCATGAAGATGAAGACATTTGTGGTAATACAACAACTGTATTTGCAGGTGTCTCAGAAGGGTTGCCTTATTTGTGATACAGAGAACCACAACCTTCTGCAAAATAACAAAGTATTTCAGGAAACATGAGGGAATACTTTTCCCTTGCGCAACTTTGGGTTTAGTTACAGGTTTTAGGGTAATATATCCACTGTACTGTCACAGGACAGTTTCTCTAAAAACCATGCTGGCTAAAGAAGGGAAAGAAATGTCAGAGATCAATTCTGAGGTTTTCTTCTCCCTGTGATTACTATCACCTTTACATAACAGCTGGTTGATGATGAAAATTATGTTTAAAATTATGCTGCCATGAATTCTTTTCCCTTATTTTTACTGCAGAGCAGTTTGTGACTGTGCACACTTGCTCCTCAATAGAAATCATGCCAGCCTGCCTTGTGGTGATCTTTCCACACACTCCACCTAGCCAGGTTTTAGAAACAACCCCAAAACCTTCGCTCCACATGGCTACAAAATCACATTTAAAGTATTTCGTCTCCATAGCAATAAAGTAAAAAGTCATACAAAACCCCCACATATCTAGCAACACCTCACCAGCCTCCCAATAGCCAAGATAACATTCCTTTAGTTTCCACTACTTAGCTAACTAGCAGAGGCATTTTTCTACAGGAAATCCAACCTCTGTTTCTCAGTACATGTTACTAAAATGTAGAGTCTATGCTTTTAATGACATCTCTGCTACCATATCTTCTTCTGCTGACTTTCAGAACAGAACTAAAACCCAGGCTTGTGCAGTAACACCTCCCAATGATAATGCTCCTTTTTTTGCCTGATAAAGTACTTACATATTTATATTTTCAGTTCTAGCTACTGGGACCTCCCAGAGCCTGAGAGTGATCTCTAACTGGAATTCAACATTTTTGGGTTTTAAATTTGATCTTAAGTGATTAGGACTAGTAAGCTTCAGCTCAACACATAAAACACAAACAAAACTAAAAAATAAATCCAATATCATGACAAAGTAGAATCTGATGTGAGGTCCATGAAAGAATGATATGAAAAGGCCTGCAAGCTATTATTATTTACTCAATTTCATGATAACAAAACTAGCCAATGAAATTATCAGGAATCAATGAAAAAACCTCAGGACTTTCTCCACCTGACACAATGTGAAATCCTAGAGGCTCTACCAGAAATGTTGTAGAAGGCAAAATTTAAGAACTGTTAAAACTAGCGAAGGATCCTTCCACCCACTGAGGGTTACAAAGCAAAAGTTCAGATACAAACCTTAACTAAGAAAGCATCTAAAGCAATGATTACTGGAAACAAACAGGGAGTGAGATCTTATTTCTAATTGACCACTGCTGAGGACAGACTCATTAGGCAGGCCTCTATACAAGCCCAATTAACAGCCACAGATCGATTCTGTTGAATTCTGCTTTACAAAGAGGGATGATCCTAGCAAATTTCCAGCATTGAAAATGGCACAATCCACAAACTGTATGTCAGTTTGGTATTGCACCGTCTTCAAAAGGTCAGGAGGTACAATCTTACCAATATAACACATTTTTAAAAATCAATGTGAAAACCCACACATACACTGGTGTGGAAAAGAGTACAAAAACCTAGACTGGCTCACACATACAAGTCACAGCCAAAATCTACTGCAATGGAGAAGAGCTGTGAGCTCAATTTCTGAATTCAAATCAGATGCAAATTTCTGAAGATTTTTTTTTTATTTTCATGTATGAGTTCTGTTGGGTCTCTGGAGTATTTTGGTAGTTATTCATAGAGTGTACCAGGATTAATATTCAAATCTAGAGCTGTAGAAATGACAGAGATTTAAGGTCATAAGTACCAATGAAGAATTTGCTGAATTCTTGTCAGCTTGAGTGTAAAGAAGCTATTGTAAAAATGTAGGCACTTGCTACCATGTGCTGACAGATTCAGGTACCTTTGTTCAGATGATGACCATTCTTCTGAGAAATCACATCATATGACAGAAGGAGTTTTGGAGAGAAATTTTTAACAGAAAACCCTATGAGAAATGTAATCTGAGGCTTTGAGCTTTGCTAATCTTTCTTGGTTTATTATTTAATGCAAACCACAAGTACACTGGCAAATAGGAGATGAAAATAAAAGTATCTTATACTTATCTGTGTGATCCTGTAAATATGAGCATACACATATTTACCATGGAGCTTTAATATCCAAGACCAGGCTGAATAGGGCTCTGAGCAACCTGATATAGTTGAAGATGCCCCTGCTCATTGCAGGTGGCCTTTAAAGGTCCCTCTCAGCCCAAACTAATCTATAATTCTAATAAGATTACCCACAATTCTGCATGTGAGCAGCACTGATTTGGTAATGTCTCTGAGTACAATCTATTGCTACAGCAGACTAATTATAGCAAAATAACAAGATCTATTTAAAAAAAGCTTAAATTGTTTTCCATTGTGGCTATTACTGAAAGCTGCTCTGAAATCCTACTGAGTGCTTTGAAACAGTTCTCCAAGTTTAAGCCTAAATTTTTAATGAACAAAATATTCATGTGCCCTAATGCCAGCACTGTCTTTCACGTAGACTAGATCTTCTGGTGTGTTGCAATTCATCTCTACAAAATGTTTCAGAGTAGGCACCTCCAATCATCTTCAATTTTTATCTCCTTTCTAGTTATTTCTATATTTTTAAATCACTTCTCTCAAAGTTTGTTACCAAAGCCTTGCAAGCTCCTAAGGTCAAACTAATGGGCTTGGATGCCATATTGCCACTTTTGAAAAACAAACATTCCAGGTTTGTAAATCCCTCACAATGCAGAGCAGCAAGACTGGCGTTTTCATTACCAGGTCTATGAGTTTGTGTCAATTCTTATGTTGCTCTGAAAACCACCTAGTTTTCTTACTGGAATATGTCTGGCTCAGAAGTAATGCTTTCACCTCAAGTTTGCTTTTCCCCACCTGTTCTGTGTCTTGCCTTTACCTCTACAATCAAGCTCAAAGCATTTCCTCATTCTAGGTGAACTACAAATCATCTCCAAATTTTAAGCATTAATTCAAAGTATGGAAAGTTCTATTTTCCTTGACAGTACCCTGTTTTTGGCAGTTAATACATCTATTTCTTGTAACATTATAGGTCGCCTTACATGCTGTAAACTCACTACAATGACTGAGCTTCACATATATAAAAGACAACACATATGAGTCTACTTTATTATCTTGTGCTTCTAAAGGTTGAAACATATCTATCTGGCTCAAAAGCATATTATGAGTGCCTTTTGGTTTAATAAAAAGACATTTTCAGCCTCATACTTTTGTGAGCAAAATTAATGTATTCAAGTTGTATTTGGTTTCAAGTTGATTTTATCTGAACTAAAGCTAACAGTTAAAACAGCGTCCTCCTATTCATATGGGAAAACCCTGAGTTTTGCTACTAAGATCAGATTCAAATCCAAAGAGCACTTTATTCAAACAGACTTACCAAGGTTAATTTAAATAAGCCATTTCTCCAATGAGAAATGACCCATTTCTCCAATATACTTTGAGACTAATGAACACAGCCAGAGACGTGCATATTGACAGCACTTTTACAGTTTGCTTATGTATTATAAAAAGCAATTAGAAAACAAGCTATCAGAAGAGGACACAATACTTAATCATACACAGTCCATCTAAAAAGGGCAGGTAAGTACCATACATTTAAATATAACTAATAAGCCACCTTTTCAATAACTGAACAGCAAGTTGTCCATCCAATCCTTTAAACCACTAGTTTTAATTTAACTCTAATTGCCCTATCCCCCCATCCCTTCACTGCGCAGCTCTCCACAAGGAGCACTAATGAACTCACCACAGACAGAGCCTCGCACTAATCTCCTCAGATGTGGTCTCTCGGGGAGGTAGCGGTATTTGCATCCAAAGATACTGAGGTTTGACGTGTGGTCTCCAAAGAAGCGCAGCTGGCGGTATCTCTCCCCACAACGGTAACAGAAATTAGTGTTACACTGTGAACAGGTCATGTGGTCACACCCTTCAGTTCTCTGGATGTGGATCTGGATGAGCAGAAGGAAAGAAGAAATATTATTTTTCCCCCCTTCCTAAGCACAGGAAAGCAGGTGCTTCATGTGGAAGCAAACAGGAGGAAGAGGAACCTGGGGCATTTCATGTGCCAGATGAAAAGAAGCTGCAAGCACCCCCCTGCAAAGTCAGTATTTGCATTAATTAATACTGCAGCTGGCTTAAGACAAGAATGGTTTTCTGAGGCACATTTCAGAGCATTAAATGTGAGTTCTATTGTTGCCAGATTCCCACTTCCTACGTAATCCTCCTTTTTATGTTTAAATGCTCTTCAGATCAGAGAATTCTTGCCCTTACTGAAAGTTTGGTTTTATTGCTGAAGTAGATATGTTAGCACCAAACTTTATTAAAAATAAAAGCAACACAGTGAATACAGTGATGAACTCTGTTTGACCCCTCCCCAGATAGGTTTCCCTCTTAGGCCACCTGTGGCTCCACTCCCTTTTCCATCACAAATTGATTTGGCATTTTGTAATAAACACCAGAAAGGCACTGCTGTTACAGTACATGATTTGAGAAGTATGGATGCCTTCTCCTTCTTAAAAAAACAAACAAAAAAAATTCCACAAACTATATGTGGAATAAAAACTTACGCCAAGCTTTAATAATATCCATAGCACAGCATGAAACAGGGCTGCCCTAGTTCTACAGCCATTTTCCTACTGATTGCCTGCTAAACAGCTCTACATCCTGCATTCCAAGACCACGTTCCACAGTGGAATTGTAGATAGCCTAACAATTGAGGCTGAAAGTGCTGCTCAGGGGTCATCTATTTTAACCCCCAGCTCCAAGCTGGGATATCTCCAGAGAGATCACATTGCTCCAGATCTCATCCCATTAGATTTAAAAAATTTCCAAGCATGGGTATGTCACAGCCTCTTTGAGCAATCTATATCATGCTTCACCATCCTCCCTGGAATACTTTTTTCCATTACATCCAATTTAATTTGACCTGTTGAAACTTGCAACAGACGCATCAATGCCTCCTGAAACCTCCTATACTTACCTTCGTGTATTTTTTTGCAGGGAAGTACAGGCAAAGACATGGTTTGACCACCCAGTGGCTCTGCAAGCACCAGAGACACTGAAAGCTCAGTGAGCTCCAGAGAGGCTCGTGACTCCTGGGGTATCCGACATTCTTGGGAGGGTCAATTTGTTCTTTGGTGCTGATCAGGGGTGATCTGGGCTCTCACCTTGCTCATCCAAATATCTACTGAAACTTACTTATACAAATAGAGTGCAAGTGATGCTTTCCACCTGCAACACTCATGGTAAAAGAGTCACAAGGGTAACAGTAGCTCCAGATACCCCTGCCAGCCTCCCTGTGCCACAGCAGTGATCTCAGGATTTGCTTTTCTATACTTTCAAATGCTGCTTTTATACAAAAGAAGGGAAAATGTTCACAAAAGAGAGAACTGAGCTATTAAAAAAATAAGTTTTCTAGTGAGCAAATATTCTAGTACACTTAAAATTTTTCAGACCAAGCAATCATCTCCCTTTACTCCAAGGAATTCTGCTGTATTACAGGTGTCTTGTTTTGAAGAAGCATCTGAAAAAACACCATTGCTGATGAGCTTTATAAGCCACTTGACTTCAAAACTTTCACAGTTAAGCACTGACAACAGACAAAGCAGAAAGAGAACTCTACCCAATACTGCATCAACTTAAGCATAACTTAAGAAGAGATACACTTTTTTTTTTCCTTAAAGGGACATTACATTGCCAGTTCAAATTCTTACTTCTCAGGTTACATGTGAAAAAAGATGTTGACTCCAGTTCTGGAGTTACTGCAATTCCTCAGATTAACATGAACTGAAACAAAGGTATTTTAATACTGACTTAAAGTATCTTGACAAATTAACTTTAAAATTTAATTCAAATTAAATTTTCAGGGGACCAACTCAAACAGCAACTATAGAGACTTTTGTAATTTAAAGGGTAATTTTCCCCATCTGTTAGTTCTATCTTAAAAATGTAAATGGGGGAACTAGATTTTGTGACTAATGAGAATTAACTGGTTGCTTTATTTCATTTTGAATCAATGAAATATGATTTCCTCCCTCTTCTCCAATTTACCAACCCAATTAAGTTATCATTCATCCTCACTGTGATTCTATAGAATCATGGAACCTATAAAAATCCTAGATGCAAACCAAAATTACTTCACATTCCAAAAATAAGGTAATTTTTATTGGCAGTAAGAACTTAATGGAGATGCTAGCAATAGCCTTTTATGTTCTACCATTCATATCAGAAATATCCACCTCTTAGAAACTGCCTGCCATCCTTCTACCCATGCTTTCCTAGAATCCTCCCAGCTCCACTTAGTCGTGCACTGCTCCTGAATCATTTGTCCATCTACTTGGTCCTGCCCGAAATTCTCCAGACATATTGTCCTCTTGAAACATGAAAGAAGTTGATAAGGATTTATTATCTCACAGACAAATACTGCAACTACATGTACTTCATATTTGCTTCTTCAAAAAGCAAACCATAAAAATATTTTAGTCAATACTCATCTGCACATGTAACTGTCTTCAAATGCTGCTAATCTGGAACAACCAGCTGTACTTGCCTATACCTTTTTATTGCCAAAAAAAGGTGTAGGCAAGTACAGTGAGCAAAGACTTGATTAGAAAAAACAAAGCAAAAAGCCCCATGAACCTCAGATGCAGAGCTTGAGCTCCCTATCACATACTTGCAGACTGACAATGCCAGGTGAACTCTGGATCATTTGGTCAGGCTGCTTTCAAGCCTAAGACATGACATCCCACCAGATCAACTTCACCTCCGGTTCACACGGGCATGCCTCTGCACCCTCTGGATAATCCAGTGACAGGGATGGATTACAAACCCATAGGTTGGGAAAGCCATGGCCGATGGCTCGGGTATCCGAGTGCTCCTGCCCCACTGGCAGCACCACGGCACAGGAGGCAGCCGGGGAACGTGTGGGGCCGGGAATGCCGCTGGCTGTGGGAAGCTGCAGCCCGTGCAGGGCCTGGTACAGTGTGACTGCAGGCTGCCCTGCAGCGTGGCCACTGCAAGCCCAGCTTCTGCCTCCATGCCCTCAGTCAAAGCTACAGGCTTCACCCTGCCGCCACGGCCTGCTCAAAACCAAACACGTACACTCACCTTACAGGGGAAGGGGAGCCATTCAGAAACCCAGGGATGGCTTCCAGAACAACAGGGGTGGAAACTACGCACCAGGGGCAAACACATCAGTTGTCTACTTAAGATTCTGAACTGGAAGTAGCACAGTGGCTATTTCAGACCCTCATTTTACCCCCTCTGCATGTTACATGCCCTCTCAAAGGGATCTTCTAGGGAAATCACTGCCAAGAGCTCTGAGGATGAGTGGCCATGTCTCCTCCACTTCTGAAGAAAACCTGCACAGCTTTATCACTTTCTATACAAATAAGGACTCTCCTCCCTCCAGAAGTTGAGAATTAATTTGCAGAGTGCTTCTAAAAACTATGCCCTGAATTCTTTGGTAACGCTTATATGAATCAGAAAGGTAAGAAGCACGTGCTCCTTTATTTGCATTGACATGCTCGTTCTTAAATTTCCACTGCTGTTCAAAGTCTTCTAAGCCAGAGCTGCTACGTGGTGTTTCCTCAGATAGTGCTGCTTTTGAAATCTGTGGTAAGATAACACCAACATGGAGTATTTCCTTGGTTTGCTGTACTGTAAAAACACTTGTGCAAACAAAAACATTTTGTTGCAAACATACTAAGAAATGGTAAAAAATAACCCCTTAAAACAGTACTGGAGAAAGACAGAAAATATTATAAATTTTGGCAAACAACATCCAATAACGTAGCAAATGTGCACTTATTAGCCAATTACTCTAGAACAAGACCGGCCCTTTTTGGACAAATCTTATTGAGAAAAATGGTCTACACTGACTCTCAAAATAGTGTATAGTAAATCTGGAGAAGGCTGTAATAAATAAATTAAAAAAAAAGTCAAAATATATTTAAGATGAAGCTAAAAAAAGTAGCATTTTTTCCATATTTCCATACTGACACACAGTCACAACATCAATCTACAAATAAACATTTGGACTGCGTGTGACATTTTTATTATCTTATGTAAACACATCTTGGAGAGACCAGGTAAATATAAGCCATTCCTATTAGAAGTGCTAAAAGCTCTATCCTACTACAGGAAAAAGTAATCAAGTTTAAGCTTATCTAACAGTCCCTGCTATACTGACATTACAAAGGATTATGTTCTTGCTAATCACTTACCCAAACCGCTGAAATACTCATATTTGCCTGAGGATCTGCCTCTGTATGCACATACCCCCAAGTGTGTTTTGATTTTCTCACCAGCATGCCCAGAGAAGATAATGCATTTGATTTCTCCATGGTACAGCTAAAAAGAGTCAGTGTGTGTATGTATCTGGAGGTAGAAATAATTATCTCCAGAAGCTATCTGCAAAATATGGTCACAGTTAACACTGTCATCAGTAACATACTTTGGAAGCTACCAGAAATTTTACACATTACTTGAGTAAAGAAACTACCTTACTTAAGTTTCTACCTTAAATTTCCATTAATTTCAGTTTTAGTGTAGAGATGAAATACTAGTATCTTTAGACACAATTTAACATTGACTTTCCCTCAACCTGTTTTGCCAATTTTGGCTGCTGCAAATTTTCAACCACAATATGAAAGAGGTTAAAAATAAAGTATGTTTTCACCAGAAACATGGCCTCTGTGGACCTAGAACATAGATAAATCAAATAGTGTGTTACAAATTATTTTCTTTGTCACTCTTTATTTTATTTGGAAATAAGATTCTCATCTGATTCAATGTGATTTTATTAACAGGTTTTGGAGGGAGGGAGGGATGGGAGAGAGAGGCAGAGAAGTATTAGATGTAGTCCCCCTGACTTAAAATGCTAACTGTCAGAATGCTTTTCCCTATGTGCCCAAACACCTGCTAAATATTTGATGAAGAATACTGCTTAAGATGTATTTTTTAAACTATCCAAAGATGTATTTTTTGAATTAACTTCCAGCTAACTGTTACTTTTGATTACTTGCAGGTCATAGATTTGATTTAAAGATAAACAGTATGTTGAGAAACATTCTGGACATTGTAGGGAGGAAGAACTTTTTTTCTGAAGAAGAAAGTGAGGTAGCAACAATCAAGAAGTGAGGTAGCAACACAGTTTAATAAAAGGTTGAATTCCCTCTTCAGTATTCACTTACAGTGCCACATTACCAGGAAGGACTTAACATAACTTCTTTTTCTGTGCTAGTTTCATAAGTTTCCATACTGCCTCCCACCATGTAGGTGGTTTTATTTTCCTTTCATTAAGAAAAGAAACCTCAAGTATTTATTAAATTAGCAGCCAAACTCATGCAACTTCATGCTTCAGAATTAGTAACAAGCCATGTAAAGTTTAAAGTGTCCAACCTTTTCTTTTGAAGATGGTGAAAAGAGTTGAATATTTAAACACAACATTTTAAATTTTAACTTATTCATGCTGAATGTTAGACTTAACTGGAAAGAAAAAGGAACCAAAACTGCTATCAGCTACCACTCCTGGTTTTCCACATTAACTTTTTTTTTGCTTGGTCCACTTTGTTAAATCTTTTGTACAATTTATTTAAGTTACATCATTCTCATTGTCACAAAATCTGACACAAGTTAAACAATTAAAATCAAAACAGACACTTCTTCCCACTCAGAAAGGAATGAAGTATTTTACTTTAAGACTTCCCAGAAAGTGAACATTTTTGGAACTGACTCAAATCTATGAACTCTTACCGAAAAGCAAGCTGCAAAAACTGTTAAAAGGTCACACATGTGCAGGAGGAAGGCTAAGCAACCAGCTGCTGATTTCAGAGCTTTACAATTTTGCTCAGTGTTTTGAAATCTTTCAATTTCAAGCTATAGCATCACAGGCATTTCTTTCTTAAAGACCAAAATATGATACTTAGTAAACTGATGAGCATTTTCTTACTTGCACAGTGTAAGGCTCAAAGTGTTACATATATTTTGTATGCTTATAAGTAAATCTGATAAGTAAAAATTCAATATTAATTTTCTATGAAACAGTCCAGCTTTGACTTACTACTCTGTTGGTAGCTGTGAAAAAAACTGAACAAATTTAAGAGTGGCCTTCATTAAGGGCAACTGGGGCAGGCATGTGCAGGGCTGTTGCATCTCCTCTGAGTAGTGGGAAATACTTCTCATCTCTGAAGGGATTGATGACATTTTTAGGGTGTGCAATGGCATTTCAGTGTCCAAAATTAATAACGAGAAACACTTAAGAGAAGCATCCACATTGGAATGAGAAACACTTCTGAGATCATCAACTCCAACCTTCAACCATCATCTTGTCACCTGATCATGGCTCTGTCACATCCAGTAATTTCTTGACACCTTGAGGGCTGGTGACTCCATCACCTCCCTGGCAGCCCATTCCAATGTTTAACAACTCCTCCTGCAAGGAAATTCCTCCTGATGTGCAGTCTGAACCTCCCCTGCAGTTTGATGCTATGCCCTCTTGTCCTGTCACTGGCTGCCTGGGAGAAGAGGCCAAGTCCCACCTCCCTACACCCCCCTTTCAGGTGGTTGTAGAGAATGATGAGGTTAAAAAAGAGGCTCAGGGGGACCTCACCTCACAGGACTTGTGCTCCAGACCCTTCACCAGCTCTGTTGCCCTTCTCTGGACTCAATCCAGAATCTCCAATGCCCTTTTTGAAGTGAAGGACCCAGAACTGGACACAGCACTTGATGTGTGGCCTGTGAAGCTTGTGAAGTAGTAACATTTGATCCTACAAAACTTACAGTTTTGCCAAGTCTTAGTTTCTTTTAGTTAACTTATTGACAGAGTATTTCCAGCCATACTCAGACACTGAATACACTCAGACTCTCTGGAAAACCTGACAAAGGCACTGAATTTCCCTAAAGCTTTCCATTTCTTTAAAGCTTTATTTTAGGATTAATTTATTTTGTAATTAATTGACCTAAAGATTCCTACAATTCATCAAAACCCGCTCTTAATAATTTCCATAATGTTTCTTTACATGCAGACACTCTGCAGAATCAGTGCAGGAACCAGCAAAATAATCTGACCTGTTTTTCTCAATGGGTCATTAACAAGAAACTGCACAGCAAGTGTAAATTTCATTTCCAATGCTGAGCAGAAGCTGCAAGTATTTATTTTAAATGTATATTTGAACAGTTTGAAGCACTACCTGCAAGCCAAGGGAGAGCAGCTCACCTTGCATTTTGGACACTTCTGGGCATTCCTCTGCCCGTGTTCGATTTCGTTGGCCCAGTGACGTAACAGCTTGTCTCCCTTCTTGTATTCTTTGCAGTTAACGCCTTCATGCCAGGGAGAGTGGCACTTGAAACACCAGACAAATTGGCAAGATGGACACTGGATCTGTATAAATGAGAAAACACCACATGTTTGCAAGCTGGGTGCTGATACAACTAGAAAGCCTGTTTTAAAACCACTGCTCCTCAATTACAAGAGCAGCTGTCCAGCAAAGACCTAACATCTTTTGGAGGCTCTGTTTTAAAAAGACAAGAAATTGTGGAAGCTAGCTTGTTCTTTTCCTTTTCAAAAAAGAGAAAACACAAAAGTAATTGCTAAAGCTGGGAAAGGCCTCAATCGAATGAAGTGCAAGCAGCTTGGCTTAATCACAGGCACTACTTCCCAAAGTGATTGCATAGATCAACAGACAAAGGGCAGAATCCAGAAATCTTACTCAATTGCCTCCAATACATTTGTGAGAACACCTGGAAATTAGCTTGACAGTTTTCAGTGCAGTGGATCTGTCCTTCTCTAGGAACAGACTGCACTGCCAAGGCTATCACAGAAAGCACTTGGTCTTCTGAAGAGGTGCTACAGAGCTTGGCTTCATATGGGCTCTGAAATGGTCCTGGGAAAAGGAGCCATGAGTGAGGCTCTCATCCAAGAGCCACAACTACCAACAGGAAGTCAGGCACCTCCTTTTGCTCTTGATTGCGTCAAGGCAAGCTGAGCCTGTGCCAAACAGCCCACTTGCTACAGACCACACCTAATGGCAGAACCCACAAGCCATACTCAAACTAAGAAAGGATCTATTCTTTCCGCTCCCTCAGTTTTAAATCATTGTGTCAAACAGGTACCATCATCATCACGTCTTCTTCCACAGCCTTAATATTTTTTCATGAAAAGCTAAGGCAGCTGCTGTGTTTGCAGGAGTAATAAACACAGGCACATTGCAGCTGCATATATGACAAAAGACAGGCCTCCAACCTGGATCAGACTAAGGACAGCACGAACCAGAAGACACCTTAAGACTCAGGCACATCTAGGCTCCTGCAACATGTTCACTTTGTTCAGCAGCAAAACATCTCAGGCTCAAGCGACTGCTGAGCCCTGTCCACCACCTTCAGCTGCAGTCCACGTCTGGCACTGCCCTGGTTTTGTACCCAGCTGATGAATGGGACTGAGGAATTCAACCAGACCAGCCAAACCAAGCAGTTTTGGTTATATCTGTGTCCAGACTTGGTTCACCACCAAACCACAGAAACATTTGTGCTGACCATGTATGGATGGGGGTGCTTCTCAGGAAACTTCATCCCAGAGTGCAGTCACATGTCCTCAAAACATATTTCTCAAGTTCTCACTCCCACCAGCTGCTGTGCCCTCCTGTTGAGTCCTGACAACTGGTGTTATGCTTCCTTGACTACAATTAAGAGTCCAAAGTAGGTGCTCTGATCACCCTTACATATTTTGCTGCGGATAGCCAAAATTGTTTACACATGCAATCACTACATCTTGTTTAAAGAGAAACAACACATTAGGACTGAAACACGTGGATTACAAACATTGTTAGTTCTTACCTGAAAACTCATCCAAGGCCATTATAAAGTATTAAACAAAAGCAACAAAAAGCACAAATTCTCAAAATCTAATGAACCAGTGGCCAATATGCTGAATCAACAAAAATACATGAACTTGCATCTCAGCTTCCCAGATGAATTCTCCTAATAAACCAGCATAGCAAAAAGGAAATTTGCTGCTCTGAGGAACCTAAAGAATCATACATTTATATTTCTACAAACCAAACTAACACAGAGCACTGCTAAATGTTTACACAACACATTAAAATCTAATATGCACAAGAAAGTAATCTAACCTATCCTACCTAACCCCTATCTCTCTTTCTTTTTCCTTTTTGTCCCCCACTCCCTCCCTGCATTGAATTTATGTCTTTCAACAACACAAGTCAGCGTCCTACTGCTGGGAAGACAGATTATAGCAAGCATCATATTGAAGGGCTCAGTATTTGTTATGCCTCAGCCAAAGATGGAGCTTGTAGCCACAAGTCAATGTTCTAAAACCTGAAAACTTATCAGTTGCAGTATTCAGACATTTGAGAGATAACATAGTTGTTAACAAGTACAAACCCAAATCAACAAGGTCAGGAAGTTAAAGCTGCTTCCGTAAAAAAAAAAGCAACATAATTTAAACCACAAGTTCTGCGTGTTGGTTGTTTTTTTTTGTTTGTTTGTTTTTTGATGAATATGTGACTAATTAATTGCATACTCTATCTTTCTATTATAGCATGTATATAAGCAAAAGCAACGCAGCAGCCACCAGGATATGTATTTAAACTTACACACGCACACTGACATCAGGTGTTTCCAAATACATTAATCAGAAAGTACTGAAATACAGGATGAGGCTATAACCACATGAAGTCAAAATAACATTTCTTACCACAAATGGCCCTAACTGAACTAGTAAGAACTCTATGTTTCATTACCAGTTTCCTCTTCCACCTGTCACCCTGACAGCACCTTCCTCAAAACTGAAGCTGTAAATAGTTTTTATATTTTGAATGGGCTATTTCACTTCTCTGTGGGTTCAATGCTTCCTGAGCATAACTGAAGCACAGAGAAAACTACGTACCTTAAGTACTTATGAATCTTATTTTTCTTGGAACTAGTAGCTGCAAAAAAAAAAAACAAACAAAACCACCCTGAAACCATTCAAACTTGAATGCAACGTGATGCCCCCCTGCGCTTAAGAAACAATCAGAACAGGGCAATTAAAGCAGTCTTTCACGTTCTTATTCCACTTTTTCTCTGCTTTCCTGAAAGAAAGTCAAATGTTATTTGATTCATGCTTCAGTACTTACACATGAAATCACCATAGCAAGGACACAGAAAAGCTATCTACATATGATTTTAAACCAGTAAAATATATTATAGTCCAGCAACACAGACAAACTATATCTGCAAAACAAAACATTAACCTTGTGTTTTCTCAAATATGTTTTTTCTCACACAAACATTTTCCCACTTATTTTATGATTTCTATTTCTGTTGATTAAAATTGAGAGAATGGATATATACACAAACTTCTATGCCACCTGGAGATCAGCCTCCCTTGAAATAGAAAAGATTACACAATTTTGTGTTCTAACTCTCTTGGTTCTTAGCTTTCTGAAACACTTATCTTTGAGGCTAACATCTTCCATTTTCTTAGCAAGCCTCTTTACTGCGAGCTACTTTATCTAACAGTTTACTCGCCTCACAGGAAAAGACTTTTCAAAACTGATACATAATTTCAGCACAAAACAGAACTGACCTGATGACAGCAAAACTGACTGCTCATAAAAATATCCCTATAACCTGAAGGTACAAAAAGCTTAGTGGGATTTTCTGCTGCTTGATGGAACAGTAGTTATATAACAGGATGGCCAAATTAATCATGCAATTAACTGATTACATGAATTACAGTCTCTAGCTGCAGTCACTGTCACTTTATTTGAAAACAAATATGAGCTCCAGCCAAAACATCTTCCTTCTCCTCATCATCAACCCATCCCCTCTCTTGAAACAGCTGAAAATAATTAACAACAAAACAAACAAATTTTGTACCCCATTAGGGCTCATCTTTGATCCAGCTCCCAGTGTGACACTAAAACATCACCATAAGCAAAAGCAGGAATGAACTGCTGAGAGAAAGAGGGAGAGCACAGCAAAATCACCACACCTGCAGCAGCTGAGGCTCAAGGCAGAATGATGTGATGTATAGCCATGAAGATATCTGCCACTTAAAGACAAAATCTGATTCAAAAGCAGGGAGCTAACAGATCAAAGCATCTGAACAAATTCCTGGTATTTCTAGAACAACTTTCAGAAACTCTTCAGTAGTTAAAAAAAAAGACAGTTTGTGTAACAACCGCATTGAAAAAATATTTACATTTGCAAACCCAAGCACTCAAGTCCTCCTTTTATGTGATGTGTATCTCTTGACAGAAGTGAACAAGAAAACCTCATGATGAATCTCACAGAGCAGAGAGAATTGCTTCTCTGTGGCAAGTCAAAAAACTAACTCTAACAAGCAAGAGCCAGAGCTTCCTCACAGAACAAGTCTTCTTACTCACTCTTGTGAAACCTTTACCTGATCCATGGCCAATGGAACAGGTAAAGCAGCAATTTTTTAATTTTTGCCCATTTCCATTGCTCTTTTGCATAACAGCTCTGAACAAAGGTTTGTTAGGGTCTTGTCTGCAACCACCTTACACTCAATTCAGAACATATGAGAGGGAGCAAGGAAATTTTCAGAGTTAATACTGGTTCCATTTATGATAAAAATATTTTATATAGAAAATTCAATAGTTCTCTTGCTGTTCTGTGTGGCCCTAAGTGGCACTAATAGTAGGAGAAAGGTTTGGATAAGAAAGCTCTCCTTTTCGTCTCCTCCTTCCTCAACATACATGTTAACTTCCAAGGCTTAGTACACCAAGACTTGAGTCCCAGCCAATTGAACTGCTGGACCTAGATCAGCTTAGCTGACACAAATCAGTAATAAGAAAAAAAAATTTCAACTTTTCTGCCTCTTTAAATTTCCATGTTACTTAAAATTTTAAACACTGTATAAAATTTTAGAAATGGCATTAACATTTTTAAAGCATCAGTTCAAATAAAGTCTTGGATTTTAGAGTGCTTTCCCTTTGCAGTGTATAAAAAAGCGAGTGTAGGGGCTGTGCTATAACCCTACCAGTAGGCTTGTTCCCCACACGAGTCAGTTCTCTTGAAGCCAACACTTGCAGTGCTGCTGCAGAATTCATCTGGTGCAACTGGTGTTTATATTACTTGCATATGAACAGGGCAGCCTCAAAAGCCTCCAGTCAGATGTCTCCTATGCTATACACAAAAGAAAATGTCTTTGCCTCCCAACAGCCTAAAATACAAGGCACAATGTGTACATGTAATCACTTGAGAACCCAAGAAAACAGGTAATATTGGCCCACAGCTATGTGTGTATGTAAATTACTCACATACACTCCATGTCATATACAGTCATTTAAACCTTCTCCCTGCAACAGTCTCTACAGTCATCATAGTTTTTAAACCTTCTCCCTGCAACAAAACTTCTTGTGCTCAGCTTAAAACAAATCACTAAAACTGTACCTACATTAGAAAACAGTTGAGGTTCAAAGAGCATGCTGAAGCTCAGTGGACCACGATCATCCATACTGCTTGCCAGCATTTTCCTAATTATATTTCTGACTAGCATCAACCAGACATTCTTGCACACAACACCTGGGCTCAGCTCAAAGGACACATTTTGCCTGAGTCTGTTGCCAGGAGATTTCAGCTCTGCAGATCACAGGTATACACACTGAATCACCGCATGACCAGTGAACTGCTCCTGGCTTGCACTATGCATCACACAGTCTCCCATTCTTTCCCATTGTGGTTTGTAGGGCAGTTGGGAACATTTTAACTGTAGCATTTTAACTCATAAAAGAGCACTGGTCGTGCCCTGAGGAATGTTCTCAGATCTGGCAGGCCTGTGATACAACAGCTGTACCACCAATGACCCACACTTATGGGACACTAACAGCCTCTGATACCTTGAGAGGAGCCTGCCAAAGCATTACAAGCTCTGATCTACCCTGGGTTACATCTGATGGGTGCTGATGATGAAGCAGATGGGTGAAGGAGAATAGCTTTGGGCAGAAGGAATTTTACTTGCAGTTTCAGATTTTTTTCACCTCAATGTAAGATGACAAATTTGAAAACAGAGTCCAACAGAGCATGGCATGCAATTCATGCCCTACACAGATATAAACAAGTAGCTCATAACTTAGAATTAGCTTTACCAACTTTTCAACTCCAATGAATACACAACCTTCCACCTTTTAATCTTCATACTGGGCTGAATCTTATGCTGTGTAATTAGGGCTATCTAAACAGTCATCTAAATTCCTACTGAGAAGAACTGGTTTGTCCAGGAAAGGCCAGCTCAATCATGAAATTAACCACAACAAATCTAATAACCGGATAGAAAACTATCACAGAACATGGTGCTGCAGACCACGGTTGCCTTCTGGAACTCAGATGGACTTTAAGCAGCTCAAAGCTTATTTCAAATTCTTGCTTTTCATCTTTGATTAAAGTCACAGTATAAGCGACTCTTCTATGAAAAGAAATGCTGCAGAAATAGCTTTTCCCGCCCCCTCTATTTCTCCAAATTCTGCATTGTGAATGATGAGATTACAGTAATGTATAATCTCTGGTAAGGGAGTGAAGAAATCAGAACCAACAAGCAGGACAGACAACAGCTCTGTTACTAAGGAAGAAGCAAAGCCAACAGCCTAACATCATAGATGCCCAGAATTCACTCACCAAGAGTTTCAGGGAAAACTTATAAGTTGTGTGTCTAAAATTATCAGTTGTAGTGGTAACTAACTCCCCATTCCCAGCCTCTTCTGACTGTGACTATTGTTTGCATGTCAGAAAGAAAACACCCCTTAAATTAAAATGTATATCAGGACAAAATTATGCCACCTACCAAAAACAAAATACAGGCTGAAGAGTTCAGCTGCTTGAACTGTTAAAAGTCAATTATTACTTAATCAGTGATGTACTACTATGGGTTCAAATTCCTAATCACAGCTTGCACACAGCTCCAGTGAAACAAAAAAGTTCATTTAATGCTCACCAAATGCTGTCCTACTTTTGCAGTGCCATCTAACCCACAGCCCCGGCAAGCATGCTCACTTTGTATTTGTTCTCCAATTTGGCAGGGGTAGGAATGTGGCCTCTCCTCCGGAAGGTTGTAAAGTGCTTGCACTGAGGGCATGGCTTGGTGCTGGAGTCAATGCGGCTGAGTTCCAGGAAGTATTTATACTTGATGATGTCGTCATGGGGCAGGTTATAGAGCACAGTTGTTTCATCCAGGTGTTCGCTGCACTCTGTGATGGGGCATTTTATATCCGCTTGTCCCAGCTGCACCTACATAGGAACAAAAAAAAAAAGAGCTTTTGCCTGGAAAAGTTAAGTGAACATTGGTGAATTTTGTGAGGAAAATTAACTTCAAATACTGTAACAATTCAGAGACTATTCAGCAATGTATCTTCAGATAATTTCATTTGTGTTTGATGGAGTTACACCGAGCACAGTGCAATTTTTCCAGAGAGCATTTTCAAATCCAAACAGAAAAGCTAATTGCCCTGACAAGTGCAATTATTAAACATACTCTCTCAGTGTATGTACCACGGCTACATACACCACAAAACCAAACACAAGTCCTAACTAACCATGTCCACTTCATACTTTGGGTGTAATGGTGAGTGCACCAGTCATGGCTCACAAAGGCTGTGAGAAAGCAGACAATGGAAACATTGGCACACTGATTCACTGCAAAAAGACCTGGGAATCACAACACAGGGAAAATTAAAAGTCAATTTAAGATCAGCAGCTCTAACTCCAGAACCTTGAGCTGGTTCCTGTTCAGTACACTCAGTGCCTCTGCAGTCTGCTTTCAAGAAGCTCCTGACATGCCATACTGCACATGCAGAAAGTTTCATGAGTTGAAGGTTTTAAAAAACATGCACCCTAACAAAAAAACCTTAATAAAAACCAAACTAAAATCGGACAAACAAACAAGTTTGAGGTTAACAGGGCAGAAACTGTTGCTGATCTAATGAGTCGTGATGGTCCCAAGCTGATCCATGTGGTCAGAAATCCGCAACGTGTTTCTAGAGTTCCTGGATCCAAGAACCGCGCTGGACCCAGCTCTGCACCCTTCATGCTTGGCAGGCTTTGACTGCTCGGACTCCATGCCAAAACAGCAGATCTTACTTGCTCTGGGAGCACCACAGTTGCATTTGCTTGGCAGTGAGCCCAAGTTAATAAACCCTGCTGGATCCTGAGAGTCTGCAATGACCCAGCTAGAGCATGTTTGTGTCTGCCCCAAGTGATCTTGAATGAGTGAGTTTTCACTGCACAAGTGCAGCTGACCACCAATTCAATTCCTTCCTTATAGAGTATCTCCACGAAGGGACAAAGGGTGCAACCAGCATCTCTTTCCAGGAATTACTATTTGAAGGTTGGCAAGTTTGATTTCCCCACACTGCTTATTCTTTAACATCCTCAATTAGAGAAACCTGCTGAACAACACAGTAAATAAGACAGAAACGCCTCAGATCTGGATGCAGATCTCATTGCTGCATAGTGGTACCAGAAGACACAAGGACTCCACTAATGCAGTATTTAAACTAAAAAAGGAGGTCAAAACCCTAAAAAGCAACACAACACAACCCTGTCATTGTTGCTTCAGCAACTGCGCCACACGAACTCTACTGAATGATAGCTCAGTCAGGAATCAGAGGATTAGAAGAGTCATTACAACATGGTATCAAATGCAAGGTTTATACTGATTAAAAAAAAAAAAATCCTACTGTACCACCTCTGTTCTCTCAGCAACGTAGCTAAAACTTAGGAGAGCAAAGGGATTAGGTACATGTTAGAGACAGAAATGCAGGGTGTGGATGGTGGCAGTGACTCTCAGATCAAAGCGGAGAACACCTCAGCAAGCTTTGGTGCCCTGAGAAGCCTTGGCTCATGGCACAGGCAGGTCAGGATGGAGGCAAATCTGTCTGCAGTATGGAGAAGAGGCAGCTCCCAGTAATACATCCATTCTTAGGAGGGAAATTCCTCACATTTAATTTCCAGCTCTAGAAGGTGCGCAGAGCTCTGCCACTTGCAAATAATGCCAGGCTCAGTTTGGCTTTTACACAGACGGGTACAGGAGGAGCATGTACTCCAAGACATAAAAAAAAACCAACAAAAAAATCCCCCAAACCTCACATACTACATGCTGGGGAATGCCAGCATTTTGTACCTGAAAGACACTGACTCACCAGCAGCAGCAAGTAAAATTGAAACCAAGTATGTACTTAAAAAGCAGACAACAATCAGTACAGCACCACAGAACACAAGCATGCTCAACTAAGAGAACAATTTGTTACAGAAACACAATAAGCTATTGCACTCGGATTAGCATCAGCTTTTGTTTACGCAAGTATAGGTACACTAGAATCGAAGAGTAAAATTAATCCCACCTATGACTATATCATTAAAAAAAAAAAAAAAGTTACACATTAGGGAGGTATTAAAAGAGCCATATCTTTTTGCCAGGAGTAAACTAAGCTACAATGAAGCAGCACTACATAATGAGAAGATGCATTGTATCTGACAATACTAAGGCATTGCTTATATTAAATGCTAGTTAGAACAAACCTGCATTTATAAAACCAAGGAATACAAAGCTCAACATTTTCTGTACTTCATGCCCACACAGAATATGATTAATATATGTGGTAAGAGTAAGGTGTGGTTTCAGTGTTTATTTTGAAAATATGTTTTACACCCACTTGAAATAAATAATTTTAACCTCTGTAATAGTTTCAGCTTTTCAAGTTTGGCAAAGACTGAGCCTTTTCCTGTATTTTGAATGGGATTGAAGTGAACAGAGCTTGCTTGCTTATTAGCAGTAACTTCAATGGAGCCTTGTCCTACCAAAACAGTCCATCTTTGTGCACGAACATCAGCAATTGATGGAAGTAGAGCTTTAGAGGTAGCCTGTCAGGCTACCTGCTGCCATGAACTCAGGACATGCTACAGAATGAGAAAGGAAAAACAAAGTAAAACAATCTGTTATGACACTGGTACAAATAACTAGTTTCATTATTTTCCTTCGTTTTCTTTTTGTTTTGCGGAGTCTTATCCCTTCAATATCAGCTACTCACAATGTCAAACCCCCAAGTTTTAAGAAAACTGTGCATTAAGAACTTTAGAACCCTCAGTATACAGAACAGCATGGTGTACTTTCACAGCATGAGGAAGGACTCATATGTCTAAGAGCAGCTGAGCCGCAGCAGTGTTAAATGTCAGGCAGCATCTAGCTCTTTTACTCAGCTGTGCTTCACTTCTATAAAGCATCTCAGGAGGGGATACTCTACTTACAATTCAGAAGGAGAAAGCAGGCTCCAGCTCCTTTCATCCTACAGAAAGGCAACATTTAAATTATCAGGAGAACAGTATGTGCCTCCTCCTGCCAATTCCTGACATTTCATTTTAAAAGTGTTTTTATTGGCAGGTGGTAGGGAGGAGAAAGAGTGGGGGGAACAGAGACAGGACACATACATGGACTCTACACTGATTTACTTACTGCCCAAGAAAGCAGTGATACCACCAACAGAAAACAGAAGGCAAGATACTTTAAGTCAGAAAATCATTTCCACACCCTGAGTCTTCTTTCAAAGGAAATCTTTGTTTCAGATTTTGCACAGAAAGCAAAGTTCAAACTAGACCAGATTTATACCTGTAATTTGGCCAGCCCCAGGCTGGATGTAATGTGACATTTGCAGGCTGTACTTGTGCTGCTGTATTGCAGCTATATTCCTTAAGTAAGGGGCCATTCTATTTTATAACACATATCTACAAACCAGCATTTTCTAACTGAAACGTCTCTCTTAGTTCAGAGATGCACATTTGCTCTTAGTTCTTAAAGCTGAAAGTGAACGCAGCCATGCCAAATACACACTTCTGTAGAGAAATTTACCTTCTACCAGTGTGCCACATTGTTCCCTGTAAATTACCAAGGAAGTTATGCATTAAAAAAAATATTCTGGAGATGTGCAGATGCAAGGGAAGGGACAGTATAGTCTAGAGGACTTTCATACTCTAGGTAAAGAAACAGCTGGATTAAAATTCCCTTTACTTATAAGCAAAATCCTATTCCTTTCTAGTTCACTAGAAACATTTCTTCCATTTTCACTGGTAAGTTACAAAGCAGTGAAGAATTACTTTTCTTGTACATTTAGAAAGTGTGTCATTATCAATTTAGTTTCTTTAAAAAACCAGTACTAGTTTGTGGAAAATACTTGAAGGAATCACCACGATTCAGAACTCCACAATGGCAGGTACTAACCAAATGAAATCAAACTAGACATGATTCAAGAAGTGCAAACCAAAGCCAGTTCAAACTTTTACTATACATTTTGCACCTGCCTTTAAGGCATTTCTGTTTTTCATATTAACTTCATCAGTCTGGATCCCTAATTTGTGCCAGCGATATCCTGGCATTCTCCATCAAAATTCTTAAAAAAAAATCCTGTGAAAAATACATTCTCTTTTTTCAGTTCATTCCTCCTCCCTCCTTTGCTCTCAAATGATACAGATCCCCAGGGGTGCTGCAAGACAAGCAAGAATAAACAGCTAGAACTTATAGTAATTAGATCAGCAACTACTTAGGTTGTGTCACTACCAAAGAGTAAAAACATCTTCTGTTTTGTGTGTGTCACCTCCTCCACAGAACATTTTCACAAAACTTCTTGCCTGTTGTTCATCACTTCACAAAACATACTCCATAGGGTGTTTCACTTTTACTCCCTCTTAAATTCATTTCTCAACAAACTTGCAATAAGCTAATTCCTGAATGCCTGTCTCACTCAGGTGGTCCCCCATCTTCTCTGACAACCATCTGTAAAATCACACAAGAGTCATCACTCCTCTCCTCTCCTCAGGAGGGAAAGGCTTCACTAGCCTTTATCAGTGTATGTATCACTGTCCTCAAAAGGATCCAGAAGGCATTCAAAATAATACATTTGATCTGCCGTTAAGATCATCTAAAGGCTATTTACTATTAACAAAGGTTGAACCAGAGTCTTTTCTATTGTGGCAGTAGCTTGGGTTTGTGAGGATGCTCCCCTTCACATGTCCTCTGGGTCTTTGTTTTCCTTTCACAAGCACCATGCCTGTGGATGTGACCATGACAATGACACAGTGACTCCTGCTCCACACAACATTCAGAGAGAGTGACTAAGGCACAAACACTGCAGGCTCTAGCAGACACCACCTCTTCTAGTTTTGACAACAATTTGGTCTCAATGAGTTTTGCATTAGTTACTACACTGTCAGCACAAAAAAAGACACAAAAAGAAGCAAAGTCTCAG